TACCTTCTCACAAGTTATCAAGAACTTTTACTTTATCAAGACATCCCTGATCTTGTACACTTAGCAACATCATCTTAGGAGCCATTTTAATTGCTTATTGTGACTACTGTATTATAGTAGCTATGCAACTTTTCAAGTACTTAAATTTTTTATTCTAAACTCTTCAGGAATCTAGATTGCTTAGCAACACTGGACTTCTCGTTCTTTCTCATACACTTTGGAGCCTTTTAAAGTATTTTTTTACTTAAGTAATATTAAAGTAATTAACAATACTTAAGTATTTAAGTTGTATTATTTAAGGGCTAACGCTTTTACTATGGAAATCACTATAACTAACACTTCTCTGCACAATCAAGTGCAAATAACAATCAAAGCCCATTGCAATAATATACACTAACATGTGTAGAACACTTGAGAATCCAATCAGCTGATCTCATTTTCTCCTCTCATGTAAGGAACTCTCATGCCAGCATGCATCACAGCAAACAGATGCTTCTTGACCTTAAAGGTAAAATGGTATACAGAAAACTGTGTGTGGATACTCAATTATGAATAAGATAAATTTCCGTATAGCAAAGGATTACTGTAATGCATATTTATTCCTACAGAAGACCACGTTCTGCTACTGGGTTGCTGTTTTCCTGAAAATCCTATGCACATTTTTCTCATTAGATAATCATAGAATTACATTTGTTAATATAATACTTAGCATATAGTACGTTGTTGGCCATCAAAGCTGATTTTTATGTAAATTCCGTAGCTGCAATGCTTTTTAATGAGCCGGGGAACAAGGTGTTGTTGTAGTTTCCTTATTGAGGCCCCTCTCTTGGGTCTCAGCCGCAGAGTACCTAATGATCTTTATGTGTTTTGAATGTAGGGTGATGAAACTGTATTTGATAAGAAGCATCTCCAAGGCCAGTGACACCGATCAGTACCCCATTATTACCCCAGACTATCCTGGCGCCTGAATGTCTGGCAGATCCATAGTCGTGTCTACTGTATATAATGGTCTTAAAGTCACAGGCTGTGATCAATCAGATGGCCAGCAAACCAGGTACTTGTAGAGCATGGAGACACACTTCACAGAGTGGCATTTTAACCAATCACCAACTATGTTTTCCCCATTTTAAAAGCAGTGCACATCACTTCTAATTCTGGTTCTCGCCACTGAAATAACTTTGGCTGGCTGACGACATCGTAGCTGACTGAGAACCACGTGACTGCCACAACTGTCGTCTAACTTTGGGATGTAAACCTTTTCTTGAAGCGTCAAGTTAGAGAGTGAGCCAATATGTATAGAGGCTACAGCAGGATCCTTCTCTTCTCTGTCTTCCCGAAACCACAATCTGCTTCAGAGCGGACAAGCCTCGGGCCAGCCGAGCACAGACTGGACAACACTGCAACAGATCCCGTCAGCTTGTTCCCTTATCCTTATCTGCGGGAGTTACAAATCCATGGTGGATGAGTACAGTTTACTTTTCAACATTACCGATCTTGACAATTCAATTGTTATCCTAACACATGTTGATACCAATGTAATTCATTTAAGTAATAATATTTACTTATGAGTATTTGATTGTTTAAAATGTTAGTGAGACTGAACCTTGTTTTTGTATACCTTCTTGAAATCGATATGCCTTTTGTATCCAGACATACTTTCAGGTTATTTACTTTTAATGCTTTCATGTACACTTTATGTATCAATAAATATATTCTATGTGCTGTGAATATGTATGCAGACCCTTTGTTATTCTGTTGATTCATTCAATAAACAAGGTAAATTCACGCTTTACTTTTTTTTTTCTGAATTTACTGTTACAACTAAAATTGTGTAAGTTCACACTATTCATACCACAATAATTTAAAGTTTAGACATTTACAGTATTAACAGTCACAAATAACTGTAAGTGTTTCCAAACATGACTTCACAGATCATCTAAGAGTGAGACACCAGAATTAAAGAACAAATACAGTATACCTCTTGACTGTTGACTGTCATGATTGTCAAAAGCCTTTGAATAGAGATACAAATAAAACTTTTAACACATAAAGAGTGTAAAACATAAGTGACAGAAATACATGTTATTTTATAGGTCAATTACAGAGCAAATTTTTATGACGACTTCTCCCACCCCTCCTCACAACACATAAGAAGAAATGATCATATTTAAACTTATAAAAGGGCAGAAATGTTGCAGGCCAGGTATTTTAATCATTACAAGAAACTAATCATACTAAGAAACAAACTTTAATCATATTAAGAAACATTAAAAAACTTAGGAAATAATGGAAATCCTTAACACTGGGTTCTTCTCCAAATATACAGTGGACTTTGCTCTGGGAGTGCAGTATTGCATGGTGGGTACATTAGGTCCATGGACTCACGATTGATGGGTTATGGATGCAAGTCCCTGCTGCTGACAAGTAGTTTACTGCATTTGCTTCAGGCCACCTAACTGTATGAATGAGGACCTGGGTTAACTGGGGTTAGGCTTTGCCATGGACAGGCGTCCTACCCTGGGATACAGTTACAGTGTGTGCTCTGTATTTGCTAAACACCGTAGTAACAATAAGCTCTGGGATGATGGAGATGTGGTAACTCAAATATAAAACTACCTACCTACCTTCATTCTGTGGATTTTGAATTACAACTAATAGAACCTGAAAAAGGCACAGACTGATAGTAAAAGGACACAACAGCTGCTCAATATGAAAGGTCATATATTTAATCAGAATGAGACAGGCATAAAGTTTTGCATCTGTCTGATTCGTCCTGAATAGTAATAATGAAAACACCAACATTTTGCAAAAGATTGGTCCGGTTTTCTATGACTGCTCCTCCCCCTTAGAAGAAATTATCTTTACTAACCATTAAGATGTCATATTATAATGAACAAGTGCCACGCATGAGTAAGTGGGACCACATTTTAAACATGTGGAATTACTAAACTGATTAGAACCTTTTTTCTGCACGAGTGGTGATAGTAATGATATTGGATTTTAAATGAATGCTTTAAAATTCCCAGGGGATAAGTGCACAGGTTCTCGGGATTTGCAGAAGCCAAAGAGCTATTAACCTCTGAGTAGCTGAGATAACCTCATTCTTAAAAGTTCAGTCTGAAATAAGGAAAACACATAATTGCATGTTTTGTGAAATGTTTGATGCATTTATATGCAGGATGAAATAAAGACATTCATGACAAAATACATAAAAACACAAAATCTGTTTTGCAGATTAAAATGATGAAAAATAAAGTAATACAAATATGTAAATCTTCAAATGAAACTACCACAGTAACATTACACAGTGTTGTGAGGGGGGAATGCTTACAACTGTAGCCAATATAAAGAAAATGCAGTTAATTTAGTGGTAAAAAAGAACTTACATGGATAGTAAGTTTATTAGTTTAAAGCTGATTTCAGTGAAAATCTAAACTTTTTACAGAGCATCCTGTCAAGGACAGCAGCATATAAAGGAGGTGTAAAATTAAGTATAACACATACAAATTAAGTGATTTGATTTGGCCCAATCAAATGTCTAAAGCTCAGTAGGTACTTCTTGGAAAACTGTATACAGTAAGTCTCTGAAATACAGGTAACTCTCGATTTACACCCTCTTAATGTGTGCATTTTCAGTTTAACTTGGATCATGAATTATTACAACTTTTTAATTGTATGACAAATTCGTTTTTACTTTAACGTGTGGGCAAATGTGAAATGAGAACTGAATTAACTAAAAGCTAGTCTGGACACTATTACTCATTCTAGGTCTTAGTCATCATCACATCACATGATCATACAAGTCTTTGAAAAAATATACAATTTACACAAAAAAGTTTCGTGGAGAAAATACCTTATCACTTATCCACTGTCTCTGTAACAAAAGGACTTCTTAACTTACTGTACATTAAGGTCACTAAGTTTCTTAGCCCCAAGACTTAATTAAATGGAAAAACTTTCAATATTTTATTCATTTTGGTTATTTGGAAGGTGACTTAATTTACTATTTACAGTCACAATATTAACAATCACAGACAAAAGTCTGATTACAATCAGTAAACTACATACATTAACCATTTGTTTTTTCAATTTACCATTATTTCTAAAAAAGCCAAGCACTTCTTATAGTACATACCAACATTTTGAGATCAAATTAAGATATAAAATCATAACAAATAATCCGCATTTGAACATTCTGATGTGTGAGTGTTTTAAGTACCTAAATGCATCACATAATCTACTCATGATTTCAAGATGAACAGTGTCTTTGCTTCATCTCAAATCTTGAGAATGACGCAGAGGTCTGGGGAGATATGTAGCATATGACTTTTGCGATTTACTGTTTCGCAATTCTTATACTTACCCACTGCAATCAGCCGAGCTACAGATCATCCCAGAAGTGGTCCAATACATGTGTGGTCACATCATCAATTTTAAGTCATTATTCTCTTTTATTTACAAGATCGTGTTTGCTCATTTCTGCACATTGCCTACAGGCTACATTTAAATAAACCACTGGAACACATCAGAAACCAAGTGTCACAGTAAAAGAAGTTCTTTACTAAGGAACCTCCATCTTACCATGGGTCAATGATATGCAGCTGTCTAACTTGCAATTTAAATCAGACCCATAATTATAGTTTGTCCCCAAAGTGGCAAAAGGAACTGTCAGAAATTGATTATAAGTGCATAGCATACTGGCACTAAGCAATGATCATTTGGAATCAACCTGTTTTTCAAATTGGAAATAAATATATTTGATATTCTTGTCCATTTGAGAGTACAGTCATAATGTCCATTGTGCATCCTAAAATTGTTTCACATGACAATTTTCCAACAGGATTTTATTGAATCAGACAACGTATTATTAGACCACATTAAGAGATTAGTTTGCCAGAGAATATGAAGTTCTCCAAGGCTGTAGATCCTTATATATAATGTTTTAAATCCTGCTGGCATGATGAATATGAGGATTAGACTAAAAGTGGTAAATAACGTACCTGTAACGAACACTTTCCACTGTGTCATATGTCAATCTGCTCGTGCTATTGTGGCTGTGAGGATTACCTGAAAAACATTAAAATGTAAGGGTTTTGTGCAGTTTTGTCAAAATATTTAAGGGAATTAAGAAACATATAAATGCAACTGCAGTTTCTGTAAATCATTTACAGAGTTTCAGTACAGTACTTACATTTTTTTTTTTATCAACAGCTTTTTCTACCAGTGATCTGTTTTGAATTGAGAATCGCTTTCACAGCTGCTTTCCTTTCTGCAGCATTCCAGTGGTTAATTAAAATGTCACCAAACTGTTCAGTTAGTAAAAACCAATTTTCAAATGCTATTTTTATATTCGCTGCTGCTAATTGCCTTCTGCAAACAAAGGTCAAGCAAGTCTAGTCATGTAAATGAAAGCTAATTTAAGAGAGTAGATGGTTTTTAAATTTTCAGATTTTAATTAACTTCGAACCCAATAGGCAAGACAAAGTGTCATATGTTTAAAACAACATCCAGTACACTTACAGTATCTGGTTCTGTGGAATTGGAAACTCAAAATTATTCCCATTCTGAGGCATGGGGGATATTCTCCACCTTCCAATATGTTCCATTTTGTTTAAACGAAAAAGGCTTGATGCGCATTATTAAAAATATATATTTTTTAAATAAAACTTGAATATACAAACTGAGCTCTTTTATAGGTGAAAGCATAAACCGCAATGAAAAATTAAAAACCTCTATTTTTATGATTTATATTTTATGATTTTTAAAATATGGTGACTGAATAAATATTCACTCTCTTTTCTATTGCACACTTACATTATATCAAGGGCACAAAATTATTTTGACACAATAACACAATAACAGTGGTTCATATGCAAGGTCAAATATTAAAATAGTGAATTACAAAGAAAGATTCAACCATGAAAGTGACACAGTGGTTAGAATTTCTGTCTTGCAGTGGGGTTTATATGCCACACTGCTCTAAATTGTATTAAGTGATTAGAAAATGGATGGATCCAATCATATTGTTTTTAACCAATTTTCAAAACAATACATGGATACATTTGCAGAAGGGCACATATCAGGAGAAGGCCATTGAAAACTAGAAAAGAAACAAAGCAGAAAGAGGCAGGCAAGCAAAAACTGTCATGTGGACTTCTAGAACTGATAGAATTATTAGTTGCTTTTCAAGTCAGTGGGGGTAACCAAACTGAGCTTCGGAGGAAGACTGTTTTCATGGTCCTTTAAATGTTTCTTCTTGGTTAATTTAATTCCATAAGGTGCTTCCTAACTTTGCTGTTACAGCAGATCCTTGCTGAATATAAAATAACTGATCTCAGCAGACCAGCAATTTCACTGATTTGTGAAGAAATGCTGATTTATAAAAAATACATACAGTAATTACATCACAACTTTTCAATATTTAACAATTTAAAATTTGATGTAAAATATATGAAAGGAGTACTAAGAATATCAAAAGCATAAATGAAAACATAATTAATAACATATATTTCTAAAACAATAATATTCTAATATATTAATATCCTGTAAATATGCAGAAAATAAGTACTATAAATGTAATTTTCCAATGGTTGTTACTTATCTTGTAGGTTCACAAAGCCTTAGAAAGCCTATAGAATCTTATGGAAGTCATGTTGATTGCCCCAGGCTATTGAAGGAGACTATGCACAGAAATAAAAACTCATACCATCATGGGATAAGTCAGAGAACTATCTGAAGATTGAAGGTGAAAGGTTATTAACTTCTAGGGGCAACTATTAAAAATTCCCAGTTCTCAGTGTGGTGACCATGATCGAAAAGGTAAATTACTATAAAGAGATAATTACTACCTGAAAGGCAATGCAAGAAGGTTTAACCCACAGCTCTGTGAAGTTTTTCCAAATACAAACAGCA